CTCCGGCGATCATTCCGCTCAGCTTTCCAAGTAGCTGGAACTACAGGCACGCACTACCACGCCCGGCTAATTTTTGATTTATTGTAGAGATGAGGTCTCGCCAAATTGCCCAGGTGGGTCTTGAACCACAGGCTCAGGCAATTCACTCACCTCAGTCTCCCAAAGCGCAGGATTACAGGCTGAGCCACCGAGCCCGGCTAGATATTTTATGAAGAATAAATCAGGATAAACTATCAAGGAAAGAAAGATGGAAAACTTAAAGATTGTGATGACAGCTCTGAGACTACAGTGTGCTATGCTCCACAATAATGCTCAAGCCGGGTTAGAGAGAAAAACTATGCACAAATTAGCTTTGACAAAGCAGTCAACTCAATACTTTGACTACTGTTCTCACCAGAAACATTCAGATCTAATATTGACCAATTTTTACTCAATCATTTATAAAGAAATGGGTAAGAAGAAATCTTTCTTTTCAAAATATGTTTCTATGTTTATCACATACCATTATATGAAAGGAGCTTCCCAAATAGATATTTGTGTTTAACTCTGAAATGTCAAATGCCAAGAAAGGACAGCATCTGGGCAGTCAACAAAAATGGCAGGATGACCCACTGGGTGAGGAGAGCGTGTGCCATATGGCTACGTTGGCTGCAATCCAAAGTCATTAATTATGGTCATCCTGCTCTTATTGATATGTTTTACTTTCTTATTCCCTTTAAAATTATTTATTAGGTAAGAAACTAACCATACAAAAACTATTTATTAGAAAAAAGAAAAAAAAACCATTACATGAATTAAACTACCTCCTTAAAAGGAGATCCAAATAGAATATCGTTTCTGTGTAATGCCTGATACAGACACATTTTACCCCACCAAAGTATTGTCTAGAACACACTTAATAGTCATTTGAGAGTACCAACAGTTCCAATTCTATTTTTTTTTTTTTTTTGAGTTGGAGTCTCACTCAGTCGTCCAGACTGGAGTGCAGTGGCCGCTCCCAGCCACCGTAACCTCGACCTGCTGGGCTCCGGCGATTCTTCCACCTCAGTCTTCCAAGTAGCTGGAACTACAGGCACACGCTACCATGCCTGGCTAATTTTTTGATTTATTGTATAGATGAGGTCTCGCCAAGTTGCCCAGGTGGGTCTCGAACCCACGGGCTCAGGCAATCCACTCGCCTCAGCCTCCCAAAGCGTGGGATTACAGGCTGAACCACTGAGCCCGGCTCCAATTCTTTTAAATGCCAAGCTATAACTAATTATATTAGACCATGAGATTAATACAATATTTACCATTTCAAAAAGTTACAAACTTCAGTTAATGCAGCAGAACACTACAAACCAATAAATAACAGAATATTCTACTTAGAACATAAAACTCAAATCACAACCCTTAACAAAGCTTAAAAATACAACAAAAATAGGAAGCTATCCACAAAGCACAAATCATTCTTAAACTCTAAATATATTTGTACAGTATTAAATTCTAATAACTTAGATGGACTTTCACTGTCTGTACTGCTTCAACTAGAAGTTTAACTTGTAGCCACAAAATTATATAAATGAATGTTTCTAGGCTGGGTGTGGTGGCTCATGCCTGTAATTTCAGCACTTTGGAAAGTTGAGGCAAGAGGACTGTTTGAGCCCAGGAGTTCGAGACCAGCCTAGGCAACATAGTGAAACTCATCTCTACAAAAAAAAAAAAAAAAAGGAATGGGCAAGTATAGATTTAAATCCTCTGCATTTTCCCATTTTTTGAGGCTTTTCTCAGTTGCTCCCCATACTTGTAATGTCTGTCTTTACCTATTAAATCCCATCCAGTCTTTAACATCTGCCTCAGAACTCACTTAACAACAGCTACTATCCAATTGCTGCTATAACCAGTGAAAATTTTAAAAAAATAATAGCGGTGGGCCAGGCACGGTGGCTCATGCACTTTGGGAAGTGGAAGTGAGAGGACTGTCTGAGATGAGGGATTCAAGACCAGCCTGGGCAACATGATGAGACCTCGTTTCTACAATAAATCAAAAAATTAGCCAGGTGTGGTGGCACATGCCTATAGTTCCAGCTACTTGTAAGCATCAGATGGAAGATTGCCTGAGCCCAGCAGGTTGAGGCTATGGTGGTTGTAAGCGTGCCACTGCACTCTAGCCTGGGTGACAGTGAGACTTCGACTCAAAAAAAAGAACAGCTGTGGGCTTTAAAACAAAAAAGGAAAAAAGAATAACAACTAGCAATTGAGCACTTATTATGCATGTTGTAAGTGTTTATCGTGTATTTATTAATTTAATCTTCACAATAACCTTAAGGTAAGCAGTAATAGTAACCCCATTTTACAGATTAGGAAACTGAAGCATGTCATATAGAAAGAGGACATAAGGCCGGGCGCGGTGGCTCAAGCCTGTAATCCCAGCACTTTGGGAGGCTGAGGCAAGAGGATTGCCTGAGTCCAGGGGATCGAGTCCAGCCTGGGCAACTTGGTGAAACCCTGTCTCTACAATAAATCACAAAATATTAGCCAGGCATGACAGTACACACTGTAGTTCCAGCTACTTGGAAGGCTGAGGCAGAAGGATCGACTGAGCCCAGAAGATTGAGGCTACAGTGGCCGTGAGTGTACCCCTGCACTCCAGTCTGGGTGGCAGAATGAGACTCCAACTAAAAAAAAAAAAGAGTTCAAGCCGGGCTCGGTGGCTCAGCCTGTAATCCCGCGCCTTTGGGAGGCTGAGGTGAGTGGATTGCCTGAGCCCGCAGGTTCGAGACCTGCCTGGGAAGCGAGACCTCATCTCTACAATAAATCAAAAATCAGCCAGATGTGGTAGCGCGCGCCTGTAATTCCGGCTACTCGGAAGGCTGAGGCGGAAGGATCGCCAGAGCCCAGCAGGTCAAGGCTGCGGTGGCCGGGAGCGGCCACTGCACTCCAATCTGGGCAACAGAGTAAGACTCCAACTCAAAAAAAAAAAAAAGAGTTCATACAGCTAGTAAGTGGCCAGCTGAGCTTCTAACATAGGATGTGTGGCTTCAAAGTCCAACCCCCACCATCATGCTATATTGCCTAGTAGTTCCAAGACTCTGATCATACCAAGAGAAAGTGATCAATCTTTCCCTGCTGAATTCCTAGACTTGTAAGCCAATTCCTGTCTGCATTAGCAATGCTATCACTATGACTCTCACATTCTTTGCTGAAGCAGTAAACAAGATAGATACAAATCTAGCCTCAAGGAGCTTATATTTTAAGGGGATAAAGGTTTGCTAGTACCCTCATCAGAGAAATAAATTTGGGAAAAAGGTCAATGAGAAAGGAGAAGCTGTAATATGGCCCAGGAATACAGAAAAAGTGCTTGCTTTCACAAACTGGCCCTAAGTCCAGGCACTTACCTGTACTGCTCTTGCTCATAGAGGTCTGCCACTATTGTCAGCAGGCGGCTGATGAAGGACTCACTGCTGCTTTCCTTGTTTGCTTGTGCAGCCAAAAGAGTGCATCTCTTCTCTGTCTCTGCCAGTTTCTTCTGCAGTTTGACATACTCTTGTCGGAGAAGCATCAAGTGCTTCTCCAACTTGGCTACCTCCTCTGCAAGGGAAATAAAGAATCAAATTTTACCTTGGTTAAGGTATAAAGGTATAAAACAGAGAGCATTCATCATTCCTTCATTCCACATATGGAAAAGTTACCAAACTGACTAGCCACATAAGGTTTCTACTATTTCTTAGTGACAGTCCTACAGGATGAAGAATAGCTTTGTTTCTGGGTGCTGGTCACTGGGCCAAGAGGACACCATGATTCAGGGATTTCTCCTCTCAGTAGCTCAATATTCAATACATGACAACAAAGAGATGTACATAAAGATGCTGATAGGCACCTGCCATGTAAATACTTTACTGGTACGCCATGAATCTCCAGGCGTACCTTTTGAGAAAAGGTTATCAAAATCACCTAGATTGTTTAAGCCACTAATAGTAATGACTAATTTTTACGTCACATGTTCTTCTCAAAGCTATATATGAATTTTTTCATGTATTTTTTTTCTTTTTTTAGAGACAGGGTCTCACTACGTTGCCCATGCTAGACTCAAACTCCTGGGCTCAAACAATCCTCCCATCTAAGGCTCCTGAATAGCTGGGGACTACAGGAACACATCACCATGCTCAGCTAAGTTTTCTTCTTTTTAAAAATGGGGTCTCACTACGTAGCCCAGGTTGGTCTAGAACTCCTCGCCTGTTGCCCAGGCTGGTCTAAAACTCTTCACCTCAAGCTATTCTCCCACCCAAGTCTCCCAAGTAACTGGGATTACAAATGAGAGCCTCTGTGCCCAGTCCCTTCTCACTCTTCACTACTGACACTCTCCAGGGTTCTATTCTTGGCCCTCTTCTCAACTGTATGTTCTCCCAAGTAGGCACAACCAGTTTTCTGGTTTGGGGTGATATCACAATCTAGGTGCCAATGATCCATATATCTATCTCTCTAGTCCAGACCGCTTCTTCACTTCATTGAGCCATCCGCCCAACAGACATTTCTCTCTAGTGGCTCACAGGCACCTCAAATTCACTATGCCCAAAACAAAACTTCAAGCAAATTTGCTCTTGTCTCCTGTGGTTCTTATACTCATAAATGACACTATCACCCATCCTAGTTACCCAAACAAGAGTAATCTGAGCTGTCTCCTGCTGACTCACATGGTCCTAGCTCTTCTACAACTCTCAGTCACCAAGAACTACTGACTTTCCCGCTTAAACATCTCAGGGAATCCTTCCTATCTTCTGTACTCCATTCTCCACTATGACTTTAATTCTGGCTTTCACTCATCCTACCTGATCCAATGTGAAAGGATTCAAATCAGCATCGCAGAACCTGACACACAGGTGCTCACTAAATATTTGATCAGTTAAGTTGAACAAGCAAAATTCATTATAAAATTCCTTTCCTCTCCTCAACTTTATCTCTCCCCCACCTGCTGCCCAATAGTGAACTCTTTATAACCAAAAACATTTGACCAAAAACAGCATGATCCCCGTGCCCTACCCTCCCTATTCACCAGATCTCGCCCCAAGTGACTTTTTTTGCTTCCCCTGATGAAAAAAGTCTTCAAAGGAAATTGTTTTGCTGATGTGGAAGAGGTGAGACAAAAAAATGACAGAAGCACGAAAAGGTATCAACATCAACAAGTTCAAAAACTGTTTTGAACAGTGGAAAAAGTGTCTGGATAGCTGTACTGCATCAAATGGAGAGTACTGTGAAAGTGACTGAAGTTTAAACATGTAAAAATAAATACACATTTTTTTTTTGAGTTGGCGTCTTACTCCATCACCCAGACTGGAGTGCAGTGGCACGCTCCTGGCCTCCGCAGCCTCGACCTGCTGGGCTCCGGCAATCCTTCCACCTCAGCCCTCCAAGTAGTTGGAACTATAGGCACGTGCTACCATGCCAGGCTAATTTTTGATTTATTGTAGAGACGAGGTCTCACCAAGTTGCCCGGGCGGGTCTCTAATCCACAGGCTCAGGAAATCCACTTGCCTCAGGCTCCCAAAGTGCTGGGATTACAGGCTGAGCCACCAAGCCTGGTCAATAGACAATTTTTAATAAATAAATTCTGAGGTTTTTTTGGTTCTTCCCTTGCATGCAATATTGAATATGCATATTCAAATGCTATTTGTAACAGAAAAAAAGTCTAAAAAAACTAAATGTATTTTGTAATTCCAATTTTATTATAAATATTCATACCACAAAATATCAGGAGGTCTCACTGAAAAGGGAGACTTCTTCTTTGCACTTTTCTGTATATTTCAGGTATTCTAGAACCAAGTATTCTAGAACTGTTTTCATAATTTAAAAAAGTGTTTTAAGAGAAATCTAAGTACTAACAAAGTATCTTCTTCATTCATATGGTAGGGGCCTGTTTTCCTCCTCTTCTGGAGAATCCACATTAAATAAATGCCTGGAGTCAAAACCTAGATGCAAATCTCAGATGTAAGTCAATATTCCTGGAAAAATAGATTTGAAAAGGACTCGCAAGATGAAAATTTACTTTTAGCTGCTAAACCTTAGATCACTGTGCTAATGAGTTACATACCAGATGAGAATTCCTATAACAAATACTTTTTTCAAGATACTCCAATTATTTGGCCTACTAATATTTAAACCAAACACTGCTTTAAAAAAATGTTGGCTAGGCCGGGTTTGGTGGCTCAGCCTGTAATCCCAGCACTTTGGGAGGCCGAGGCAAGTGGATTGTCTGAACCCGCGGGTTCAAGACCCACCTGAGCAACTTGGCGAGAATTCACCTCTACAATAAATCAAAAATTAGCCGGGCATGGTAGCAAACGCCTGTACTTGGAAGGCTGAGGCAGAAGGATGGATCACCAGGGCCCAGCAGGTCGAAACTGTGGTGGCCGGGAGCGTGCAACTGCACTCTAGTCTGGGCAACAGAGTGAGACGCCAACTCAAAAAAAAAAAAAAGTTGGCTAAAAGAAAACAGCACCTAAAATGATCCTATTATATTTTTTAAATCTCAGCAAGTAGAATTTACAATTATACCAAACTCTTTGGGTAGACTCAGCTCTATGCTTTTATTCTGGTGTAACAAATTTACAAAGGTCACTGATTTTTAAGAGTTCTTCACAGTGACTCAAACCAAAAAGTTTAAAAAAACAGCAACCATTTATTTCAAAGGAGGAGGCATTTAACACAAGCAATAAGTTCATGAGATGGTACCAAATTTATAATGAATAGAAAGAAATGAGGGTTACCAGCCACTTTAAAGAAAAACTAGCAGCAAATTTCTAGGCGTATTAATAGAAAATGTAAAAAAAAAAGATACAATTAAGACTGACAAATTCCCTTCAAAAACTTGTAGCAAAATGAATCACTTGTGGCAAAATGAATCTCTGCTGTCAGAAGTCAGAATAATGGTTATCTTTGTGGAATGGGAGGAAAGTGGTAACCATGAGGGTACACGGGATGCTTTCTGTAGTGCTGGAGACATCCTGTCTTATTTTATTTTTGAGACTGAGTCTCACTCTGTTATCCAGGCTGGAGTACAGTGGCACACTCACGGCCACCGCAGCCTCGACCTGCTGGGCTCTGGCAATCCTTCTGCTACAGCCTTCTAAGTAGCTGGAACAATAGGCATGCGCTACCACGCTCGGCTAATTTTTGATTTTTTATTGTAGAGACAAGGTCTCGCCAAGTTGCTCAGGTGGGTCTCGAACCCGTGGGCTTAGGCAATCCACTCACCTTAGCCTCCCAAAGTGCTGGGATTACATTACAGGTTGAGACACCGAGCCCAGCCTTAGAATGAGTTTTTTTAATCAGTGCATTGCAAGTCTGTATGGACAATCCAACCAAAAAGGTGTAAAGTCTAACATTCTGTAAAAATCACTAGTATTCATTTGGAAAGAGTACAAGTTAGGATGACCTTTTATTTAAAAAAAAAAAAACTCCCAGAGAGGCAACTCCTAGTCTACCATAGTAAAACATCAGTTAATGTCTATAATTGAGCAATCTAGAAATGGCAGTATAAACATGATCACTTAGAGATAAACAAAAAAAACAAGCAAAAAAATGGAAAGTAGTCAAACTGGGTAATGGGGGTTAAGGGGTTGGAAAAGATAAGGCAGAATTTATTTTTTGTTTTTGTTGTAAGTCTTGTAGTATTATTTGAATTTTAAATCTATGTACACTTTTTTTTTTGAGTCTGGGTCTCTGTTGCCCAAGCTGGAGTATAATAGCAACATCACGGTTCACTGTAGCCTTAACCTCCTAGGTTCAGGTGATCCTTTCACCTCAGCCTCTGAGATGCTGGTGCTACAGGCCCATACCACCACATAAGGCTAATTTTTTATTCTTTTGTAGAGTCAAGGTCTCACTATGTTGCCCAGGCTGGTTTCCAACTCCTAGATTCAAGTGATCCTCCCACCTCAGCCTCCCAAAGTGCTGGATTACACGCCCAGTCGGAAAATAATTTTCTAATAACCTTATGTAAGTATTTGTATATTTCACAAAACGCTAGGACGGGTAGGGGTCTAAAGGTCATCTCTTTTGATACAACTCTCAGATAAGAAATCTGAGGAGAAAAGGGACAAGTCCATGACCAGCAACCTAACTCTCGCCTCTCAGGCCATGTTCTATGATGACACTGTTCCCAGACTAGCCACCTAAGAATCACTTAGGCAGTTTGAACTATTTAGAGAGAGGATCCGGGTGGTGCCGGGAAAGCATATTTTTAAAACAACTCCAGTATAGGAATTATAGCCTTGGTGAAAAAGTTCAGCCCCCAGCACACACCTCCCCAAGTCACACACAGGCTGCTCTAGGACTACTGCTTAGACAGAATACCAACTGAATTGTAATTTTTGTGGTTGCTGTTATCCATTGATTTGTTCAAAGATGGTCATCTCTGAAGAAGACAACTGCATAACCTAGTCATTCATAAAAAAACTTAAGCAACTATGAAGTGCCGTTTCAAGACAATGGAAGCCATCTTGGCACATGTTTTCACTTATTTATTTATTTTTGGTCAGAGTCTAACTCTGTCACCCAGGCTGGAGTGCACTGGGATACTCACGGCCACTGCA